CTCACTCTGCTTTGACGTACACCGTACTGACACAGTAGTCAGTGGCCAGTAGCTGTGCCAGTGTTCTGTTGTAGGCCTACCCAGCGCAGTGGTTTGCTTTTCAGTTACATGAAATATTTAACTTTATCTGTGTCACTTACATGGAGTTTATATTTAAAGACAACATTTGCTGGTTCTACGGGTATACTTTCTGCTAGTATATATAAAGTTGTTCAGCCGAATTAGTTCGTACTCGCATAACTAGAAAACTCCGCAGCCTAAAGGAAAACTAAAGATATTTTTAGAATCAGCACGTCTGGGAGGTGGTTCTGGCTAAAACAAAAATTTAAAAAAGTTAAAAAGTAAAAAAATCATAAAAACTATATTCATCAATAGATGGCGGTGCGTACAGATTAACATCACGTACGTGTGAATCCATTGGGTATAAACTTAACGGGGCATTGGCCTAATCGCTAGAACATCCGTCTCCTAGACCGGAATTCCGGGTTCGAGTCCCAGCTGGCGAACAGCAGGGCTTTTCCCTTTTTTTTCATTTTTTCCCTTTACCTACTTCTTTAGTATGTATTATTTTTAATTGTTTATTTTTTAATTTTAATTTTTTATATTTAATGTCTTTTATCTTTTGATTTCTTATTATTTTTTACTGTTTTGGGATGGGATGGCATGGGATGGGATGCGGTGCGATGGGATGCGGTGCGATGGGATGGGATGGGATGGGATGGGATGGCATGGTATGGCATGGCATGGCATGGCATGGCATGGGATGTCATGGAATGGCATGGGATGGCATGAGATGGGATGGGATAGGATGGGATGGGATATGGGATGGGATGCGGTGCGATGGGATGGGATGGAATGGCATTGAATGGGATGGATGGATGGAAGCATGGATGGATGCATGGATAGTTAGATATTTTCCTTTCAACCAAGCGGTCACCAACTGAGTAACGCCACTGATTTCCCCGGGCAACGCCGGGTATCCCACCAGTACTATATGAAGGCTCTATATCACCGAGTCACTATGTGGATTTTTCTACTCGCCAAATTTCTTATTCAGAGTTCAGTTCGTGTGAATTATAAAATCCAGCCATCGCTCATGATAGCATTATCGCACCTGTCATTTCACGTTGACTCACCCGATGAACTCATGTCTACCTGCCATCCCGCGACCCCGGCTCGGTCACGTAGCCCCAACTGCTGACTATTCTTATCAAGCAAGCAAACATCTTCTGCATTTACGACTAAAACAATCAGCTGCAATGATCTGCTTATAGCGTGTGCGTATTGTTATGCGCGCGTCCCCTATGCTTTCTTTAAACGCACGTGCGCGTGCGTGTATCCGCGTGTGCGTGTGTGCATGCGTGCGTCATGTGCGCGCGCGCGTGTGTGTGGGTATTTGAGTTTGTATGTGCGCGCGTTCGTGCATGCGTGCGTCATGTGTGCGCGTGTGTGTATATGGGTGTTTGAGTTTGTATGTGCGCGCGTGCGTGCATGCGTGCCGACATGCGTTCGGGCATGCGTGAGTGTGTGCCTGTATGTGCGCGTACGTGCAAGTGTGCGTGAGTGAGTGCGTGCGTGCGTCATGTGTGCGCGCGTGTGTGTATGGGTGTTTGAGTTTGTATGTGCGTGCGTGCGTGCATGTGTGCCGACATGCGTTCGGGCATGCGTGCGTGTGTGCCTGTATGTGCGCGTACGTGCAAGTGTGCGTGAGTGAGTGCGTGCGTGCGTCATGTGTGCGCGCGTGTGTGTATGGGTGTTTGAGTTTGTATGTGCGTGCGTGCGTGCATGCGTGCCGACCTGCGTTCGGGCATGCGTGCGTGTGTGCCTGTATGTGCGCGTACGTGCAAGTGTGCGTGAGTGAGTGCGTGCATGTGTCATGTGTGCGCGCGTGTGTGTATGGGTGTTTAGGTTTGTATGTGCGTGCGTGCGTGCATGTGTGCCGACCTGCGTTCGGGCATGCGTGCGTGTGTGCCTGTATGTGAGCGTACGTGCAAGTGTGCGTGAGTGCGTGAGTGCGTGAGTGAGTGCGTGTGTGCGTGTGTGAGTGTGTGTGTGTGTGTGNGGGCGGGCCGCCCATCTTTGATCAACGAGCGCACATGCGAGCGCTCGATGTTTCGTTCAAGAGGCGCTGCGTTCGCTTGCAGCCGAGCGTTCGATTCGAGCGTATCGCTTCTCGCTGAACACGCCTCCTGCATTGGGTAGCAATGCGATTGCACTGCACTACTGTTTTGTTTAGGCCAAGTAAAAGCATTGTTTCTTGTGCCGATTCACATTTCTCAGAATCTGCTTCCAGTAAACCACACGTCACACGCCGCATCTGCGCAACGAGCCACAGCACACGCACACGCACCACACACACGCATACGGCGTACACACACACTCGGCATCAGAGCAGAGCGTCCCATTGCCGCAATCATGCGTGTACCGTGTCGCAAAGGTATCTCGGTGTGAGATATGGATGTCCGGACGCGTAGCCACAGCCTTATGTTTTTGATGGGTGGCCAAGCCGGGCCACCAACCTGACAGTTTCAAGGTGGCCCGACGTCGTTGGTCAGCGTGGGCCAGTTGGCACCCCGGGCCACAGTTAAAGTCGACGGCCACTGATATATCACAATTTTCACTTCCTTGCTCATTATTACCAAACTTATTTAATGAAGGTGTTGACTATGAAATTCTTTTTCTATTTTCTTTACAGACGATGATGAATGCAGTGCTTCTCCTGGACCATGTGATGCTAATGCTGCGTGTGCCAACACTCCTGGAAGTTTCACATGTACATGCAACACTGGCTACATTGGAGATGGATTGACTTGTGCTGGTATGCACTTACCTATATCACAGTCTGACTTCCTTGCTCATTATTACAAACTTAGATAATGGAGATGTTGATTATGAAATTCATCTTGATTTTGCTTACAGACGATGATGAATGCAGTGCTTCTCCTGGACCATGTGATGCTAATGCTGCGTGTGCCAACACTCCTGGAAGTTTTACCTGTACATGCAACACTGGCTATAGTGGAGATGGATTGACTTGTACTGGTAAGCACTTGCCTATATCACAGTTTCACTTCCTTGCTCACTTTTACCAAACCTAGTTAATGGAGATGTTGATTATGATATTCATTTCTATTTTCTTTACAGACGATGATGAATGCAGTGCTTCTCCTGGACCATGTGATGCTAATGCTGCGTGTGCCAACACTCCTGGAAGTTTCACCTGTACATGCAACACTGGTTATAGTGGAGATGGATTGACTTGTACTGGTAAGCACTTACATATATATCACAGTCTCACTTCCTTGATCATTATTGCGAAACTAAGTTAATGAAGATATTGATTATGACATGCTTTTTCTATTTTCTTTACAGACAATAATGATCAATGCAGTGCTTCACCTGGACCATGTGATGTTAATGCTGCGTGTGCCAACACTCCTGGTAGTTTCACCTGTACATGCAACACTGGTTATAGTGGAGATGGATTGACTTGTACTGGTAAGCACTTACATATATCACAGTCTCACTTCCTTGCTCATTATTACCAAACTAAGTTAATGAAGATATTGATTATTAAATGCTTTTTCAATTTTCTTTACAGACGATGATGAATGCAGTGCTTCACCTGGACCATGTGATGCTAATGCTGCGTGTGCCAACACTCCTGGAAGTTTCACGTGTACATGCAACACTGGCTACAGTGGAGATGGATTGACTTGTACTGGTAAGCACTTACATATATATCACAGTCTCACTTCCTTGCTCATTATTACCAAACTAAGTTAATGAAGATATTGATTATTAAATGCTTTTTCGATTTTCTTTACAGACGATGATGAATGCAGTGCTTCTCCTGAACCATGTGATGCTAATGCTGTGTGTGCCAACACTCCTGGAAGTTTCACCTGTACATGCAACACTGGCTACAGTGGAGATGGATTGACTTGTACTGGTAAGCACTTACATATATATCACAGTCTCACTTCCTTGCTCATTATTACCAAACTAAGTTAATGAAGATATTGATTATTAAATGCTTTTTCGATTTTTTAGC